GGCTTCAAATGAATTGTGCTCCTTTGTTAACTCTTGAGAAGTTTACAGCGAAAATGCTTCTTACTGTGTGTAAGAGCTGGATAGAGACTCAGATGCAGGAAGGGAAATAATGCAGTCCCATGGATGTGGGTTTCCTGGTCCTTGGCAGGAACTAGGCAATACAAAGTACTGGAGGAGAGGGAGACATGTAAAGGGCAGGGTCCTTGCAATGAGGTCTTGTGGTGGGTTGACCCTGGCTGGAGGCTAGGTGCCCACGAGACCTGCTCTATCGCTCCCCCTCCTTAACTAGACAGGGGAGAAAAAGTGTAGTGAAAGGCTCGTGGGTCGAGATAAGGACAGGGAGAGATTGTTCAACAGTTACCATCTCGGGCAAAACAGACTGAACTTAGAAAAGAATTCATCTAATTTATTATCAAGCAAAACAGAGTAGAGGAATGAGAAATAAAATAAAATCTTAAAACACCTGCCCCCACCTCTCCCATCTTCCCAGGCTCAACTTCACTCCCAATTTCTACCTCCTCCCCCCGAGCAGTGCAGGGGGACGGGAAATGGGGGTTGTCATCAGTTCATTACACCTTGTCTCTGCCGCTCCTTCCTCCTCAGGGGGAGGACTCTTCACACTTTTCCCCTGCTCCAGTGTGGGGTCCCTCCCATGAGAGACAGTCCTCCACAAACTTCTCCAACCTGAGTCCTTCCCTTGGACTGCAGTTCTTCATGAACTGCTCCAGTGTGGGTTCCTTCCACGGGGTGCAGACCTTCAGGAGCAGACTGTTCCAGCGTGGGGTCCCCCACGGGGTCACAAGTCCTGCCAGCAAACCTGCTCTGGCGTGGGCTCCTCTCTCCATGGGTCCACAGGTCCTGCCAGGAGCCTGCTCCAGTGTGGGCTTCCCACGGGGCCACAGCCTCCTTCAGGTGCCTCCACCTGCTCCGGCGTGGGGTCCTCCATGGACTACAGGTGGAATCTCTGCTCCGGTGCCTGGAGCAACTCCTCACCATCCTTCTGCACTGACTGCGGAGTTTCTTACATCTTCTCACTCCTCTGGCTGCAAAAAGATCCTGCTACATGGTGGTTTTTTTTCCTTCTGAACTCTGTTATCACAGAGGCGCTACCAATGTCATTGATGCGCTCGGCCTTGGCCAGCAGCGGGTCTGTCTTGGAGCCGGCTGGCATTGGCTCTGTCAGACGCAGGGGAAGCTTCTAGCACCCTCTCGCAGAAGCCACCCCTGTAGCCCCCTCCTCCTCCCCCCAACCTTGCCCTACAAACCCAATGCAGGTCTGTTTGCTGCCCTTTCTTCATGGGCTTCTCTGCTCAGACTGCTGGCTGTCAGAGGTTTTAGTACTTCAACCCAGTAAAAGGCACCTGAATTAAAGAAACATCTTCAGAGCTGTAGCTGTTCAGTTACTTCACTTAAGTTAAATTGATGTAATCTATTGATATCAAAATCATACCCTGTCAAACATGTTAAATAGGGCAAAATCAAGGGGCAAATTTCAGCCCACTAAGAGGTTTCTCAGGAGAGTTTGAGAGATGTTTTCTTTTTGCTCCCTTTCTGCTGTCTCCCATTTCAATTTCAGTGCTTTGCTGTGGCTTTGAAAGCAAACTCCCAGCAGCTGATGGTGGCCAGGCGTGCAGGGCAGGAAGGATGCTGCTGCCTGCAGTGGCAATCGTGTGAGGGCTTCCCCCTGCCCACCCCTCCTGGAGCAGGCTCTGGTCCTGGCTCCTGCCGAGATGCCTGCTCTGCCCTGCATGCTGCAGCAGTGAAACTTAAAGCCTTGGTGGCACGGGCTTTTTTAGTAGTTTTCTTGAATCTTGACTTCTGACCGTTAGTGTCAATTGTGGTGTTAGGGGGATTGCTCTGCATAAATCAGCCAGTTTGCATGGCTTTACCAAGCGCTTGTCATGACAGCAGGGAAGGGTATGTTCTCCCTCTACAAGCCTTCTCCTTTCAGTGGCAGTGCTATTTCTTGCAATATTTGTCTGATTTAGCCCCTAGCCCGGGACTTCAGAGCACGAATGAGGAGGTGGTTCTGTCTGCTCTGCTCTCTGATCTAGTGTGGGATCTGCCGTATACTTGGATTTCACACCTCTGCAGAGGCACAGGCTGTGAATTCACCTCCCAGCAGAGTTGCGTTCCTGTGCCCAGCGGTTTGGAGGTTTCTGTTGAAGATGACCCTTCTGCAGCGCAACACTGGGGCAGGCAGCTGAGCTCCTGTACCCAGAGGGCTGGGCTGCAGCTGCCCCACGCTGCGGACGGAGCTGCACTACCCGTGGTACCCAACCGTTGCTGGAGGGTCCTGATGCAAAACTCATGAGGCGACTGTAGCTGCGTGTCCGGTGTTGGTAAGAGGTAAAGCAGGGGCGTGAGCAGGTGGAGTTTGAGCCTTCCCACATCTAGCCCGTGTGTGCATAAGATTTAGGTCTTTTCTCCTTTCCCCTTTGCTGTCATCCTGAGATCCTAGTAGTGACTTGTGGCTGAACTAGAGGTGGAGCCAGCAGAGTGCTGCCCTTAGAGCTGGTAGTTATGCCTTCATTACATCCCAGGAGCACTAAAAAGTAGGGATGTGCATGGCTGAAAACCTGCCTGTGCATCCAGCACAGATCTAGGGCTGGAGCTAGTTCCTTGGCTCAGTGTACCTCTCTGGGTGCAGAGCAGAGATTTGCTCTGGTGGTATTGAGCTGGGGTAGGAAAAAAAGGTCCTTTCCTGCAGCCTGGCACCCTCCCACCATTCAGGAAGATTTACAGCCTCCCTTGTTGCCTGGGCAAGGAGAAGAGCTTCCTGAGCTAGCACCTTTAGGGATTGCTCCTGAGGTTGGAAGGATGAAGCAGCCAAGAGCAGTCTGTGAGTCTCCTGTGTTAGCGTTTGCCCCTGGCCTGAGGGCTGAGATTGACACCTTGCTTGTCATTTGGATTTTGATAGCCCCCAGAGGGTGAGAGCTGAGGGTCTCAGCAATGGCTGGTACATAGGTCCATGGTAGGGCATGGTCCTTGCTGAAGATGGGTGACAATTTTTTTTAAAATGACTATTCCTTTCACCTGCACAGTTTCTTCATCTTTTACTTATCGCCTAATGAGAAAGCACCCCACCCCACATATAAAACTGCCTCTTCTGCTCCTCGTAACACACTTACATGTGTGTATGACCCACCAGGTGCCTCAGGACAAGCCTATACCTGTTGCTGTCATGGAGCCTGTCCTGAGGTCCCCACTGTCCTGGGGAAGGCCAGCAGTAAGGGGCTGCCATCCCTCACTCTCTCCCTGGAAGCTGCACGCACTCTGGATCCGTTGTGCAATGTCACAGCCAAATGCTTTGCCTTCCCTGGTGCTGAGCAGGATAAATCCCCTTTGGGCCTCTCAAGTAAGCTGAGAACTAGACCAGCTTTGTGGGCTGTGTGGGCGGGAGCCAGCCTGTTCTGACTGGCAAGGAGGCAGGATGCTGAGCAGATCCTTACTTTCCTCACAAGGCTTCTGCTTTCTTCTCTCCAGCCCTTCTCCTTTCTCTCCATCTTCCTGGAGCTCTTGCTCTGTGTGTCCAACCACCCCCTTGGTATCTGCTAGCATTTCTCATGCTTCTCATTGCTCCTGCCACCCAGTTGGCCCTGGGTGGGAAGGGTGGGAGTCCAAGCACTGGTTGCCTTTGAAACAGGGGAGGGTCTCAGCCCGCAGCTGCTCTGTTTCTTTCCCATGGGACAGGAGAGCAATGGGAAGAGTATGGCACTTTTACACTCCCATGTCTCTACCCCCACTCGCTATCTCTGGCCAGACATATCCAGCTGCTGAGGGGAGTCTGAAGATTGTATTTAGCAGTATCTTATCCAGGACTTTCTTTCCTGCCTCTTAATTGATCAAGCAATAGTGGAGAGGCTGGCAGAAAATCTTGGATCAAATGCTGCTCTACCACATCCCTACAGCCCCCCTGGGACTCAGCATGCGGGGCCATCCAAAATCCACTTATAATTGTTCCCATTGTAACTTCTCCCCCCACACACCCTTCCTAGCATGTCTGAACTGGGTCCTCAGGATGTGGCTCTGCTTCTGACTGTTCCCAAATAATTATCATGTAATTCTTCTCCCAAAATAATGTAAGGTGTGGGTGAGGCGCGTTCACTTCCAGTGATGTAGCAACACCCCTTACACAACAGAAATGCTGGGTGTTTCACCAAACTGGGAATAGGTCGATGGCCGCAAGAGTGTGACTAAGGGACGTCAGTGTGCCACAGGTGTTGCATGGTATCTCTGGGGTTGCTTTCTGGGTTTGCCTTCTTCCAGTGCATCAGTATCCTGGCACCCGCTTTCCCTTCCCAGCCCTTTCCCTGGAGCCTCCCACGGCTGATCCGTAGCGGAGCAGCTGTCCTTCCAGACCCCTGCTGTGCTCTCTGGGATTGCAATTCCTCTTGGAGGGTCCTGCTGTGACCCAGGCTCGCTTCCACCCTGTCTGTGCTTAGCAGTGTGCCTTGCCAGCCTTGTGAGGGCTAAAGCCAGAGCGTGCCTCTCAGCATTCCCACCGGGCTCTGCAGACCTCCCAGCAAGCTTGCACAGACATCAAGGGCTCAGAGGGAACCAGCCATTCTGGCTGGGCAGAAATAGAAATGAAATCCAGCTGTGCTGGTTCTGTAGCGGTAACCAGGGATAGAGCAGTGAGTGTCTCGGCTGGTGCTGTGACCCAGCAGAGCTCCTCTGGCTGTTCTCCCTCTCTAACACTCTGCAAGTCAGTCTACTGGGTTTTGAGCCTTAGGAGCAGATCAGCATAGAGAAGAGATTCTGAATTTCTAGAAAACTCCCCTGATACACCTTAGCATCTGACTTTGGGGGGGGATTTTTATTATTTTTGTCACACTTTTTTGTTGGGCTTGTTTGTTTTTCAGTGATGAGCTCCAGACTGCTCTCTTCTCCCAGTTCATGAGCTTCTGGCTTGCAGCTACAATCCCAGTTGTTAGTTGCCCAAGTACATGACCGAGCATTTCATACTATATTAATGACATGTTTCTCTCCCAGCAGCAATGACAACGATGAAGGTGCTACCATGCCCTGCTGCTCTTCTCTTCCTAGTGGCTGCATTCAGTCTGGAGCCATCTCACTGTGCCAAGGTGTTGATCATGCCCACCATAGTCTTTGACAGCCACTTGCGAGTCTTCATGCGAGTGGCAGAGGCACTGACTGATCGAGGCCATGACCCTGTGTTGCTACTTCATGAGGGTCGGGATGTGGAAACCTACCTGCCCAGCTTCCGCATGCAGAGGTACTGGGGTATCTTCAGCACACAGAGTGCAGATGCCTGGGTGCAGGAGAAGATAAAGCGTGTCTTCCAAGGGAAGATGACCTCTCTGGAGATGTTTTCCTTTTTGGAGAAGTACCTGGAAAACTGTGACCTAGTGCTGGGAAACTCTACCCTTCTGCAGAAACTCCAGCAAGAGCACTTTGACCTGCTGTTGGTGGACCCCAATGAGATGTGCGGCTTTATCCTGGCCCACATTCTCCGTGTCAAATATGCTGTGATCTCCACTGGTTTCTGGTTCCCAGCAGAGATTGGTGCAACTTCCCCCATTGCCTATGTCCCCGAGTTCAACTCCCTGATGACAGACAGGATGAGCTTCTTTGGCAGGACTTGGAATCTCCTAGTCTACATGATCACTCGTGTGGCCACAAAGCTGGTCATCCTGCCCAAGTTTGAACGTCTCATGGAGAAGCACAAAGTGGAGCCAAAGACATCCATGTTGGACCTTGTCCATGGAACTAGCCTCTTCTTCCTCTGTAATGATGTGGTGCTGGACTTTCCCCGGCCAACGCTCCCCCATGTCATTTTCACAGGGGGAATCCTTGCTGAGCCTGCAAAGCCCCTCTCAGTGGTAAGTGCAGAAAAGCTTTGAGCTATGATTGCACATTAACCTGGGGAGCTATTCAGTGCAAATCTGCTTTTGAAGAGTCTTGTAAATGCTCTGACACCCCAGGAGTCTGGAAAGCTGTTGTGTTATGGTGCCTGGGTGCAGCAGGAAGACAAGCAGCACTGAGGACCGTGAGGTTGCAGGGAAGATACAGAATTAAGTTGTCCATGCTAAAGTGGAATTTGGCTTCACTGTCTGTGTAAAGTGGTGTGTGGAAGTCCTAAATTGGCAGTGTTGCCCCTGGGACTTGATCATGAGTAGTTTGCTCCTATACTTGAAGCGGAAATGAGAAGAACAATTAGTCTTCAATGCTTCATCACTGATTTCTGTCAATCCAGAATTTCCTCCTTAATCCTATTTCTCGCGGGGCGTTTCTGCCCTCAAGCTTGTAGTCTTAAGAACCCATAGAGGAGAACTGTGCTTGTTCCTTCAGCAAATTCAATGCGGAATCCCAAAGTGTACAAAACTGAAGTGTATCATCCCCTTTTTCTTGAGGTCCAGCCCCGAGGGAGAACTCCCCAGGCATCCCAGAGGCTTTCTCTGGCCTGTACCTCCCTATCCCCGGTAATAAATTCAGAGGGACAAGCTCTTAAAGCCTCAAACTGAAGACAATATTGGAACAGAGCAGGACCTGTCTGCCATTTCTCCCATTGCCTGACCACTTTTACAAACGCTGAGGGGAAATAGACCTGGATAATGACACTTGGGCAGTCAGGTTGTCCTGGTGTCCCAACTAAGGGTCCAAAACGGAGGTAAGGTTAGAGGCCTGTCAAGATCTCTGATGGCAGCTTTAATAGAGAAAAACTTTTGGGTGCCAATTTTTTTCCAGTTAAAAGGGAAAAAGTGAGGTCAGGTGCTTTAGAACAGAAGTTCTCCAGATGCGTATGGCTGCACATCTCCCTTTCCCACGTGGCACGGCATGCAGGTAATGCAACACACGTCGGGTGCTCCAAAAGCTGTGTCAGAGAGTGGCTACCTCACAGGTCTTGCAAAACACTGGCTTGGTCCAATCTGGCCACGTACACACCTGCCTTATAAAGAAGGGAGTTGTTTGCTGTGGCATTACTCATGTGCTTCACAGCTTCCAGAACTTATCCCAGGGCGCCTAAGGGAAGAACGATGGAGATAAGTCCGGAGCCCCGCAGTAGGCGGTGGCTGTTGTGCTAGCAGGCAGGCATGTGTGTACCCAGGTTGTGGGATGCCAGCAGGAGAGCGGGCTTCTGTAGGTCTAGGTGTAGCTTAAGGAATCTCCCATCTGAACTGGAGCAGAGTTATGTAGTTAAGGTGTTTATTTCCTCATAATTGAAACACCGTGATTGTGAGTTCCTCTAATTAGGACTCGGAAATACAAATATGTATTTGACAGATGGTGAGAACTCTTGGTGGTCAACCATGCTTCCGTAGCAACTTCAGTGACGTTCCTGAAAGTCAAATGTTAAGGCACAATTATAATGGATAACGTAATCAATTGTTTTATGAGTCATTATACTTTTATTTAGGAAAGTAAAACTAGCACTTTTTCTTCTTTAGCAGTTTTAGTGGTTGTATTGCTCAAAGGATGTGAAACTCAAGAGAATGGAAAAACCAAAATCTCTTAGTTGAAAACTTTTTGGTTCTTGGTTGTTGGGTTTGTTTAGGGCTTTTTAAGCATTTCTGCAAAGATAGTTTTGAGTCCCTGAAGTATACAAAAAAGGGCAAATATCCCTAGAGATTAACACTAAAACATGCTTTAACTCTTCTGTACTATGATCCCCCAACCTGTAGACTGCTATTAATAAGATACTCTGAATTAATCATCCTATTTTTTTTTCCTTTAATAACAGGAAGAACTATTTTTTTCCCTTCATGTTCTTCTACAGTCTTTATTTCAATGAAGTATTCATATTCAAAGGTAGATTTTATGAAACTACCCTAAAATGCTCCTGACTGCGATACATGGGAAACTTGAAGCAGGAGAGAATCCGCAATGAGAAATAGGCTCAGGCCAGCCTGGCATAAAAACGAATAGTCTGTGTTTGGTCCACAGGAGCTGTGGTGGCTGATTTCTTCTCCCTGCAGCCTTTTGGCCCTGGTTGAAAAAAAGTGCAGGCTCTGTTCTAGATACACGCCTGTTTATGTAGCATTGTAGGTAGCCTCTAAATGAAGGACAAACAATTGTGGTTTTTGCTGGAGCTGTAGCTACCTCTCAGCCTAGTGACCAAAAACTAAATCTGCTATCTGTGAGTAGCTGTCAAGACGGGTAGAAATCTTCTGCAAGATGGCAAAACCTTCTGCCACCTCCAGGAGCCTTCGACATTGGAGAGTTTGTGGGGAATCTCCAGCGAGATGTTGTTCCTGACCCTGCCTGCATGATGTTTCGTCTGTTGTATCAGCCTACAGATAGAGACCCTGACAGGCCTCCTGCCTTAGTGGTGATGGAAAATAACCTTCCTCTTTTTACTCCAATTTCCTTCTCTGCTCTGGCTGCTCCTATGTGGGCCCTGCTTGCCAAAGAGTAATTGCTTTACCTCCAAAGCAGGAGGTAGTGCTATGAAGTGCAAGTTTTGGACACCTCCCCGCAAGCTCCTAAGCCCAGCAGGTGCTCAAATAATTTCTGCCTGGCTGGGTGCAGAAATCACAGCGGTTTTAGAGTTTGTGGCCTGATGAAAACCATGTAGCTTTGTGCTCCAGGTGCATTTGGCTTCATCCTCTCCGTAGACAACTTTCTACTGGCAGAGGCAACAGTGGGAAGGGCCTTTCTCTAACAAGACTTCAAGGTAGCTGTGTGTGTTCTGCCCGCAGGGTCTGCGTCTCTGGGTGGAAGCAGCAGATGCAGGTGTTGTTGTTGTCTCCTTTGGCATTGGGATCCGAGCTCTCCCGAGTGACTTGGTAGAGAAGATGGCTGGTGCGTTTGCTCGTCTCCCGCAGAGGGTGGTGTGGAGGTGAGGAAGGAATGGGATTCCTCTTAATTTGAGTTGGACGAAAATCAATGTTGAGGTGTGATTCATCTCAAAACACAGAATTTGCTTTCCATCTCTTGACCTGACTGAATTTATAATTGTTCTCTGTGTGTCTCTCTTCCCTTTTTTTCTCCTCCCACAGATACTTTGGGCAGAAGCCAAGAAACCTGGGTGAGAATACACTGATGATGGGGTGGCTGCCCCAGAACGACCTGCTAGGTAAGGCTGGGCTCTGTGTGTGTGTGCGCCGCTAGCAACATCCCTGGAGTTGAGCCCAAACCACAGCAAAGGTGTACAAGGACAACAGCACCTGTGTGGGTCTAAGTCTGTTTCTTGTTGTGAGCCTGATCTGTACAAAACATGGTCCTCGCCTAACACCTGTGTGAAGCTGCATCTTGGTCCCTATCTCCCCCCTCCTCCTCCTCCTACTCAGCAAGTTTTGGGCTGCCAAAAGCCAGGTGTGTTCCCAAAGGGTAACATCCTTTCTGCTCAGCATGCCTGGTTTTCCCTAAACATACATCAATGCTATGTGTTGAGGAAGCCACCGGTAGCCCTGTTTCAGCGCGGAAGGCACTGACCTGCTGCCATTTCTTTGCCTGCAGGCCATCCCAACGTGAAAGCCTTCGTCAGCCACTGCGGGATGAACGGTATATTCGAGGCAATTTATCACGGTGTGCCAGTGGTAGGATTTCCTTTCTATGGAGACCAGTTTGACATCATGACCAGAGTGCAGGCAAAGGGCATGGGTATCCTCATGGACTGGAGCAGAGTAAAAGAGGAGGATCTTTACCAGGCCATCATCACAGTTATCTCTGACCCCAGGTGAGGCATATGGAAGCCTCATCGAGGTCTTCCTTGGTGCAGACTCTATGTAGGGACCAGCGTGTCTTTGTATTGATCCCTACCCATGTAGCCTGTGGTGGCTTCTGGACCAAGCAGAGTTGGAAGCATTGCTCAGCTGGCCAGATGTGTTAGTGCCTCAGTCCTGAGATGTGGTCCAGGAGGAGATACTCCAGCATTTGCTGTCAGTGTAATCTAGTCCTGTTTGGCTCTGACTGTAAATTTTCTTAGAAAGCTTTCTGAGATGCTGAGGCACAAATCTCTTCTCCTTTTAATGCCAGCCTGTCATAAGGGGAAGTGAGATCACAACCTCACCTTGGCACCTCCCTGGTCTTGTCCTAACAACTTTCTGTAGAAACATTTAGTGCAGGTCATGCTCTGTCTGCTCCTTCTGACAGCCAGGTACTCTTCCCTTTCCTAGATCTGCTCCAGCACAGTGACACAGGGCTCCCACTTTCTGACAGGACACATGGAACTGCTACTGTTAGAAGTGCTGTCCGAGACCTTAATGTTTTTTTGTTTGTGAGCTATTAGAAGCTCTCAACTACTGACAGTGTACGTTGTTAAGGTGTTGCAACTCAGTACCTTGAAGGATTTGGCCAGTCATCAAGTGTACAACTATTGTTTGAGGCTGGGTGAGGTCCCCTCTCCTCAGAAAGCAACGATCCACGTGAACCCACCAAGCAGGGACTCGGGAGCTGAGCTGCCAATCTTTTTAAACACACAAAGTACGGTGCACTCTGGCTTGTGCTGCCATGGCTAACAATTGCCATCAGAGTGACTTTCTGAGGCAGGCCAGAACAGAATTATGGAATAAACTTGCCACTCTCCCAAGGTATCATTTGGGACTTGAAAGCACCACTGGACATCTCAGACCACTTCTCATCTGTGAAGCTCCTGTCAGAAGGGTAACTTCTTGTCTTCTTTCCTTGCAGCTACAGAAAAGCGGCCAAGCTCATCTCAGCTCTGCACCTGGACAGACCAATGCATGCTCTCAACAGGACAGTGTACTGGCTGGAGTACATCCTTCGTCACAACGGGGCACCGTATCTTCGCCCTGCTGTCTACGACCTCTCCTTATACGAGTACTTCTGCCTGGACATCTTGGCTCTTCTCTTGCTGTGTCTGGCCAGTATTGGATTCATCCTCTACAAATCCATGGTGTGGTGCAGAAGGAAGGGGGCCAGCCCTGTGTATCAGAATGGCAATTGCATGAAAGGCCACTTCACAGAAGAGAAGAAATTGCAGTAGTGGCTCAGCGTGTTCCAGGTCACATCCCGTCACTGTGAAACGAACTGCTGCTATGCCAAGAAATGTGTGGCACGCAGGCATGGAGAGAGGTGAAAGATAAGCAGGTCTGGATGAGAAGAGAGGGGGGAGGGAGGACTATTGCACAGTCCTGCGTGCACACCTCTGTGCACAGCACCTGTGGGCGGGGGTGCAAATTCAGGCATGGGTGGAAGCACTTGGCCAGGGCGCTGGGAATGGGGCATGGGTAGGTAGACCTCCAGGGAGGAGTACAAGTTGTTCCCTTTTTATTGCACATTGGTTTAGATGCTGGTGTTGCTCTTCTGGCTTTTTGGATCTCCATGGAGGCTCTGGAGGTAGGAATAGCATTTCATGTGTGGCAGACAGAGTTTCTCCTCTGCCTTGTTACCCCAGGAGTCAGGATTTCTTTATGTGCAGGTGAGGACCTGAAGTAGAACTGCGGACAGGGAAGGGCACTGAAAGTATCATCTATAAGAGAATGAAATTGGTCTGGTTTAAGTTCTGTGGGTAAATATTGTTCTTCCTGCTTCCATCAACCCTCTGCAATCCTGTTTGTGTTTAAGCTAAATTATTTTTTTTTTAAATAAAGTTATATTCTTTCGCCTGTGTGGCAGTTCTCTCAGGATGTTGTTCAAGCAAGATTAAGGTGCTTTTTCTTCTTCTCACTGCTGCTGCGGTCTCCACATGCCTCTGGATCCCTACAAACCTCTGTCAGCGACTTGTTTTGGTCTTCCCACAGGGTTTCAGGCAGTGTCTTCCCTCCTCTGCCAGCATGTGACATACATCCATGCCCATAGAGTCTCCAAACCTGTGATAAAAGAAGAATTTGGAATAGATGCAAGTACCAGGACCACAGAATAGCAGTCAGTAGCTTGGGGAGCTGGTCATAGGCAATGGGCCATACAGCTCATTTATAGAAGCAACAAGCTCTGTTCTTTCTGAAGAAAACAAACTCCTGCTCATTTCAGTGTGAACAGCCATACTGTTGCCTCACTTGGGGACATGATACGGAGCGATACCTGTGTGTTTCTACTCACCCTGAGCTCTAAGGCAAACCCATGCTTGGGTGCAATTGCACAACCCACCTGTAGCATTGGCTGATGGTCCAGCTGGTGATGGCTCATGCCAAGGGTTGAGGGCTCTGCTCCATGCTCTCAGCTGGGGCCATAGCAGCGCTGGCACAAGCCAGAGAGCAACCTCATTGCCACAGCTGCCCTTGCTGGTGCTTCCAGGCTCTGCTCTTGATTGCTCTTGCATGTGCTTCCCTTTCCAGATGAAAGGTGTATTGCCACATGCAGCCTGGCAACAGCAGTTTGGCTGGGCTCCTGGGATGCTCTGGGTTGGGACAGTGCCCAGCCTTATTCGTTGGCTTCTCTGAGGCTCAGCAGTGCTGCCATCGCTCCCCAACCCTCAGCTTACAGAGGGGCTGCAGCGAAGAAGGCTTTGCATGAGAATCTCATTTGCTATTGAGGACAGATGAGAAGAGCCCATAGACCTAAGCTGGGACCTATAACTATCCCATGGCAGAAGTTGCTCTTCCTGGAGTTTCTTGCTGCCTCCTGGGATGCCCAAGCCTGACCACGATCAGTGGTGGGCATGGCAACCCATTGGTCTTGCTCTGTAGCAGTCCCATGTGGCTTCATGCCCTCTGAGCTGAGGATGTGGAGTTTAATTGTCCCAATGAGGAATGGGGAGGATCAGAGCAAGGTGAACTGCTAACACATAGTAGGGGAAAAGCAGAGGTGGTAGAAAAGTTGTAGAAACACTGGCTACCTGGCACCTTTCTGCCTGAGTTGAAAATTAAAGGTTGATGGAATTTGGAGGGGTTTTGGGGGGAAGAAAAAAAAATATATTGGCACAAGTTTTGCAGCATGCCTACCCATTGCCAGTTGCACTATGGTGGCTTTTTTGTCATCTCCTAGCAGATGAGTGTGGACAAGGGGGTGGGGCATTTTCCTCAGTTCTTTGTCATCTCTGGGGTGCAAGAGGAAGATGCTGTCTACGTGAGAGTTTGCCTATTTAGATTAGGCTGAATGTAACAAGTGAGTTGGGAAGCTTGTGGCTTGGTGACAGCGTGAGATTGCTTTGAACTTAAAGAAAAGAAAAAACAGTGAGAGGACAAATGCACCGTGTTTGCAAACTGAGGCCTCGACTGAGGGGCTTGCTTCCATTACGCCCCCAGACTGGCTGTGTGGGAAAAAAAAAAAAAAAAATTAAAAGCAAGAGGGCCTGCTTCAGTAGCCTGTGCCCCACAGCAGTCATTTCTGTCTTCGGAGGAGCTGCAGGAGAGGGTATGAGCGTCAGCCCTGCTCAGCAAAATCCTCCAGGTCAGATGCGGATCACCAGTGCTGGAACTGCAGAGGAAACGCGCAGCATGGCTTGAAGGGGCCAGAGACCTGCACGTTGTTTTGCTTGCAAGTAAAAAAGCAGAGAGAAATGTTTGAGACCCAAGGAGACTATGTGGACTTACAAGGACGTGAGTCTATTTTCTAACTTACTGAGGACACTGCCTTGTTGCTGTTTACAGTTTCAGAAAGAATTTCAAGGCAACATTAGCATATTGTCTCCTATCAGATGTGTCCTTAAGTCCTTGAGCTTTTCATGACTCCTTTCATTTCCAAATGCATAGCAGAGTTAGGAGGCATATCTAGCTAGGGAGTCAATGTGTATATAGTGCATTTAAACTGATTCAACAATTTATTGAGAACTACTTTTAATAGAGTAAAGCACAAACCTGCCTAAGGATCCTTTGAGTAAGAAGTGGACATTCAAAAAGCATCCCTGAAGTAAAAAGTCTTCTGCAGGAAAAGCTGCACACGGGCTTAGAAACTATCAGGAGCCATTCTTTAAGTTATAGGGGTAGTTTTCTGGAAGTATTTGGATATAGTAATTAAAGATGAGGGTTCCTCTAGCTTTTCCAGCTTTATTCCTGTCCTTTGTAAATCTTCTCCCTATTAAACACATAGCTTGCTCTCTTTACTTTTCTCCTTGTTATTCTTTCAGTATTGAATACAGAAGGAAAGTATAACAAAGCCTTAAGCTAGTTATTAAGTTCAATTATGAATAATGAGTAGCCTGTCACACACATTAAAAGCCTTGATGGGGGAAGGGATGTAGGTGAGTTTTATCCTTCAGGCAGCTCTGCCTTCAGCTTGGTACCTGATCTCTGGGCAAGATGCCTCTCAGTTACTGTGTGCCCTCCCCTGTCACAGGCACGGAGGTAGGCAGGTAGAGCTGTGGCTTAGCTTAGGAAATTAAAACTGTGGTTTACGAGGCAGCAAGCAGGGAACAAACCTTCCCCCCCCCCCCAAGGAAAAGTAGGACATGAGCGAATACTTTTCAGAGGACTGAAGAAGCCTCACCCAGGAGCTGCACTCCCAGTAGAGCCTTGCACAGTGCAAAGCTGCCTTCTGCCCCTCCGCCTTGCTCTTGGCAAGGCACCGGGGAACCTGAGCAGGATGCCGAAACACCAGCAGTCTTGCTACTGCGTGCAGAACTCCCTGTGAGGGCCCCGAGTGGCTCTGCGGGCAGGGAGGCATTTGGGGCGCATGTAAGCCAGCTTTTCGGGTTTGCCCAGCCCCGGCAGCTCCTTGCAAACCTGCTCAACATATGAGGCATGGCAACCCCGTGAGCGGGAGCCGTCCCAGCATTTGAGACACCCTGGGTTTGCAAATGAGTGTGTCTTCCAGGTGATGGGTGTGCAGCTCTGCCCAAACCCTGGGCTGGGGCCAGCACCTCTGCTGGGAGCAGCTCCTTGCCAGTGACAGGGAAGGGGTGAAGCCACATACTCACGCTGCTCCTGTTGCAACCCCTCTCTTAGGCCAGCATCAGTGGCCATACCACTGCTGGAGCACACAGCAGGGCCTGGCACGGCCTCAAATGCTGGTCTCCTGCAGCTGCTGCTTATTAGATGTTTGCAAAGTCCTGCGGGAGACCAACGCTTTTGTACGTGGAGGGTCCTCACACGTTCCCCTGGCAGCACCCCTGCTGGAGAGCCTGTTCGTGGGCTGCAGCAGGGCCACGTCAGCTCTGCAGCTGGTTTTTCAAGTCCGGTAAGGTGGCGGCATCAAACTGTGTCAACAAAATTTGGCTAATAGAGAGGAGCTGTCTCCCTCTGCAGGTGAGTGTGGAATCGCTCCGGCTGTGAGAGGAAGGCCTGGAGGAGGACGGGCTCCGCAAAGATGATGATTTTGACTCACCCCATCGTTAAATGACAGTGAGCAAAGAGCACCTCCGTCCCAGGAAACCCTTCTTTTTGGCTGATGCAAGGACCTGTGCATGGCTCAGCCCCAGCCACTCTCACCTGCAGCAGCCCTCCTGATAACCACCCCTGTTTCCTGGGAGCAGAGAATTATCAAATTGGTGCAAAGTTCCCAACCCTAATTTATTTGAGGAGGGAGGTTTCCTCAATGAGCTGTATTTCAGCAGTGGGGATTACCTGGCTCACCAGCTGCGTTGCAGGGGCTGGAGTGTTATCTCCAGGCAGTGGATATTTGCCACCGTGGTGGCAGCCCAAGGGGCAACATGCAGGAAGAGATATTCCAAAATAAAGCGCTGCTCTTCCCAGCATCAGTCTGCAGATTGCTGTTCCTTGTTCCTGGCAGAGAAAAGCCAGCTGCTAAGCTTGGCACGAGTTCTCAGCACGGTGCACAGGGGACGATGTGACACAAGCCACCAGCAGTACCCAACAGGAGCACTCCCGCCGTCCTGCCTAGGCAGCGCTGTCAGGCAGGGGTGGGAGATGGAGGTGAATTGTGGAGCACAGCAGGCGTGGTGGCACAGGAGGGTCCTCTGCAGTCAGCTTGCGGCACAAGCCTGCTCGGTCACACTGTGCGGGGACCCTGCAGCAGCAGCTCCATGGGTGATCTGTGCCCTCTGCTGGTACTGGAAGAGAGAGAAATTCCACCTGGAAATAAGGCAAAACTTTTGGACAGTGAGGCAATGAATTTTTGGCAGGCTTTAGTGGCTGCACTGACACTTTT